TAATTTTTTAAGAATTTTACAATTCAGGTTTCATTTTTGCTGTGCTTTCAAAGCTTTATTTTAAACTGCAAGTAACAAAAGCACAAGCATGATTCCTTTTCATTCTTTTAAAGTATGCACTCGTACTTCAAAAGAAAAAATAGATAAAATTACATATTTAATTAATTGATTTTGCTACATTCCAGCTGGATCCAATGCGGATGTAGTTTTGGTGCAGTAAAGTGTTATCTATCCAGCAATTTATGGTTTTTTTAAAGAATTAAAGCATTTTTTTTTTTAAATACTTAAGAAACTTTTATTATTTAGACTGGTCACTAAAAATCAGTAAAACTTCTTACACATTTAGGTAGTAAACTTAACTTTGGTTCAGTTTAACATTTGAGAACGAGATAATTAACTTTAAATGTTTAGTTAGATTATAATTATAATGAAATCTTTAAGTTAAATAATAGCAAAGGTAATTCTACTAATTAATTTATATTAACCGGTTGAATCTGGTAATCAACTCATTGACTAGTGACCACTCATCAGCAGAGAATTTAGTGTCTGAGCCAGTGTCTATTAAGGCTTTATCAATGCAAACTGTTATACTGTAGAAACGTTCCAGCATGCTGAGGAGACTGTTCCCACCTAGTGAGGCAGCCAAGAATCAAACTCAGTTCTTTGCCCTTCACTTCTTTTACATATTTTTGCAAAAACATATCATCTTTGGTTGGTGATTTTTTAAAAGTCTTAACAACTTTTCACACTTTAAGAAATTCGTTGTATTGTGGAATCACTTCAGGTTCAATCAGTGTCAGTGTTAGTTGAATGACTACTTCTAAGCCTTCATTGGTCTCCGTGTCTTTGTCATCATATTCATCACTATCATCTATCTCTGTGTGTTCTACTTCTTTTTGATCTTTCTTTTTATACAGAACGTCTACCACAGCTAACTGGATTACATGTGCAAAGCACAGTTTCTGATAGCAAGGCAAGAGTCTACCAACTTTCACCATAAAGCTTGTGCCATCAGTAGTGATACCAATGGTGTCAATTTCAAAGTTTAATCCACATTTTTTCAACCGTTCTGACACTAATTCAATGCAATGTTCGGCAGTGCAGGATTTGTGAGTTCTGATCAGGCCAAAATTAAAATGAATCTCTTTATGGTGCACGTTGAGATTTATGTATCTGTGATTTTTTTGAGATGTCCACTCATCAAAGCTTAACTAAAATCTTTGACCCTTTTCTTTAAAACCCCTTCCTACCCACGCTCATGTCTGACTCGAGCAAGGTTTATAGCATTAAAAAAACCGGGCGTTTGGGCCCCCAAAAATTTTTTTTTTGATTTTTAGAATGTTTTTTAGGTCCCCAAATTTTTTCAAAATTTTTTGTCCGCGCGAAAAAATTTTATCGCGATTTTAATGAGCCTTTGATAAGGCTCGATTAAGGCTTAATTGCTTTTTAATGTTTTTTAATGGGAGTTTTTTATCAAAATTAATTAATCGTTCTAAAGTTGTAGTGCACCGATTTTCCTTCGGTAAAGTTATTTAAAGCTGCTTTCTGATGTCAAAAACGACCTCCGATAGTTTTTTAATTTTTTTAATTAATAGATTTTATTATATATATGTTTAATTAATTAGGGGGGTCGGAAATCGCAATAAAAATTATAATTTTTAAAAATATTTAAAAATATAGGTTTAGTTTCTAGTCACCCTACTTTAAACCCTTCTCCTCCTGAGATGTCTATGAGAATGTCCCAGGAAATATGACACCAGCTGTTCTCAAGGTCATCCAGATGTGTAAACAATGACTCATCAGTGTTAAATTTCACAGAAAGGCGAGACAAAGGAAACTAAATGATGAAGCTTTTTAACCAAAATTAACACATTTCTTTTGTTTTTTTTTTCAGTTTTAAGTATTTTTTATGCTTAATTTAAAATTTTTTTAAAAAAGTGGACAAGAAGCGGTTAAAATTTGCAAATTTTTTTTATTAAATCCGCTTAGATAATTTTTGCATAATTAGTAATCATCGACCTTATGGTGTTGGGAGAAATTGGCAATTGGAATCCATTTTTTGCGAACAAACATCTTAAATCAGAAGATGTACAAAATGAACTCAGTGTAAAACCATCTTTGCACCTCATTCTTGTAACCATGGCTTCCATCAAATTTTCTTTTACAAAATAGGTATCAATACTCTTCTTAGCCTTTTTGTTCAGTATAATATCTACTTCCTTATCATCAAAATTTTTTGACGTAGTTGCTATTGCTGTGGGAACTACTGTATCTCTATTACAAAGTGGTAATTTGCTGTTTGCAGAAGTAACATTGACGCAGTGTATCTTTTGTAGATGGCCTTTTAAGCCTGTCATAGGAACAGTTACTAATCAGCAAAGTTTTTGAACATAATAAGCATTTTGCACTTCGACTATCATCCAATTTTTTAAAATAGTCCCACAAGTTTTTTTAATCATCATTCTCACCACATTTCTCTTGCTGACTTGGCATTGTAAGAGACATTATTCAGTACAAATTCGAACTGTACAATTATATTATTATTATATAACTGTGAACTGACTGAACTGGCATGATATCTGAAAAAATAAATTAAGAACTTTTGATTCATAAATATACATACCTAATAAATTTTATCGCCAAGCAGCTGAAGCAACACTAAACTAACCAAGTTTGATCCAAATCGTTAGAGCCATTTTTGTGGTAAATAATTCAATTTTCATTTAATTTGAATCGTATGGCAGCGCCCGCTATTCGCTCTATAATACCATTACCAACCAAGACTGCTTAATTTTAATTTACGGTCAGTTGTGACATCACTGGATCACATGACAGAACGAAGATGGCGGATCATGGTTGCTAGGAACATATTCTGTTGTCAAGTGTAGGCCTCAGGATGGAGAGAGAAGTGGGCCATGTTATTGTTTTTTGAGTCAACAAAAGCCACAGTCATGGTGTTGGTGCTTTTCAATCTGTCAGTGGCAACAATGGTGTTTATATTTTGATGGGTTTCCCATTCCTTAAAGGGGTAGTACTAGTCAACCACAAGCAATAGCGAACGTCAGCATCAATATCTGCCAGACTGCCTGTTAAACATGTGATAGGCTTAGCAGAGAGATGGATGCGACTCCCAATCGTTGTGCGATTGCCGGAAAAAAGTATGACACCTTTCTCATTTTTCGTCTCCGGTAAAATATCAATTGAGCTGAAATAAAAGGTTTTCTATTAGGTAGCAATGGTCATCTCCCAGAGGGATAGGTTAGGTTTTGTGGACAAGCCGCGAAAGCGGCACATAGTCTCACGGCCGAAGCAGCAAGCAAAGTGAGCCACAAGGCTGCACTCCCCACAGGCTTAAACTGCAATTGTTCCATCATGTGATTCATTGACATCACAACCGATCATAAATTAGAATTATGCACCAGGACTAGTAGAGCAGTTACTTATTTTATTTAGCGAGAGCATAAAGTCAACTGGCAATTAGATCAGCAGAGGTAAAACGGTGGACAATGCAATGTAGAGAGGGGATGTAGCACATGCTGCACTAAACAGCAATGTCGCTCTCACCACTGAGCGATAGCGCACATAGCAAAGTGGCAACTCCAACAATGTAGACTTTTGTGCCATTATTTAGAAACTTAATTGAGTATTTGCAAATCCAACAGGCTGAAGAATGTGCTGGATCCAGCAATTGCAATCCCTAATTGTATGTCAGCTACATTGATGACATTCTCATGATACGGAACAAAGCACCTAACCTTGACGCGATACTTGAGTATTTTAACAATAACCCGTATGGCCTGTCGTTGAAAGTTGAACAAGAGAGTCGTACAAAGATACGTTTTTTGGATATCAACATAACAATGGAGCACAGTTATCTTTCCACATGTGTTTTCCATAAGGAGTCATATACACCTCTATTTATACCGAACCATTCACATGACCCTTATAGTTACAGTTTCTGCTTTTCGATCTTTGGTAAAAAGGGCCCACACACATTGTTTTGAGCAAAGTGGAAAGGAAAACGAATTGTCGTGGATCAAGGCCCTAGCAACACAACATGGATAAACGTCCTCTTTGGTCAAACATCTCATAAAACAATATATAAATAAGAGGGAGAGGACTATTCTGCAAGACGAACAAATGAAAGTTATCACATACAATGAAACACTTTCTAATATATATAGAGAAATTGCAAGAATCACTAAAATGAACGTAACATATCAATGCTTTCCAATAATCTTTCTCATCAGAAATGATAAAAACCATATAGATGACTCATACTCTCCAGCAGTTTATGTGGTACGTCTCCACAATGACCGAGTTAACCACTCATTAACATACATTGGAGCAACAGTAAGATATTTTGCCATGAGGATGAAAGAACATGAATATTCTATAAGAAAAAAGATGACTACTACAGCATTAGTGATGTATGTGGGTAATGAGGAAGTACGCATTGAACTACAGAGTGCTAAATTGTCAGAACTGAAATACCTCGAATCGCTTGAGATCTATTGGGCAATTAAGCAGGGAGTCGCTATTAACTTCAAGGAAATGGAAACTCTATCCACAGCATGGTGCACCATTTTTGAACTAGATTCCAACAGAAACTCGCATTAAGGATAATTTAAATTATGGAGGATATTTGCATCATAATAATTTACTTGAAATTAATTGATTATTTATTCAGATATTGTTTAAATATTTTACATATTTTGAAATTATATCCCAAACATTACATAAGTTAAAATATTTTGTATGTAATTAATTGTTTTCAGAATACTGAAGATGGGACTTTATGTTTTTGTAAGGTTGGTTATGGATGACAGTGTCTGTTATTTAGAGGTGAATATAATAGATGTCCTATTTAAAGGGTCTGGTGATTGTAAAAATGTCTATTAAGTAAAGATGTCTGCTATTCAGGAAGTTTCACTGTATAATTACATACTTTATTAAATCCATGTTAAATTTACATATATGAAATATATGAATTTACTTACCGATCATCACTAATGCTTATGACACCTTCAATTCCAGTCAATATAACAGCAACATTAACAATGTCTTGGTGGCCTTCAAGTTTACTTATAAGTTGTGGTTTGCGAGCATTAACGAACTGTGTGCTAGATCCAGCAACTGGTTTTATTTCTGCAGCCATATTTAGAATTTAATAAACACAAAAACTACTTTCATTTACAACACTATCCTAAAAAAATAAAGTTAAAAATTATCAATTACATTAAATGAATATACATGTATTTTTTTAAATAAAAAATATTTAAAAAAATACGTATATGATACAATTTCAAAAATATCTATATAAACTACAGCATCATTATTTTGGAAGATGTTCAAGATTGATAGACAATGTGAAGAAGAAATGTAGAGTACTGTACTAAATCAGTGTTTATATCTATAGATAGGGTGGTGGTGGTGGTGGTAATCACCCCGTCAATGATAAAATACTTTTTATCAATTCTTAACAGAGTTAAATATACAAATATAAATAAAAATAAATTTAAAAACTTACGTCAATATTTGTATAACTTATGGATACAAATTCACTGAGTTCAGCGTTAATAAAGAACAAGTGCTAGACATACGTGATGCGCTGACATTCATCACTGATCACAATTATTTCCTTTTCAACAAGAGCATCTACTTGCAGAAACAAGGAGTTCCTATGGGCTCCCCGCTATCTGCAGTCTTGGCCGAGCTTATTATGAGAGAAGTCGAGCGTAGAATTTTCAACTCCCCTCTTACCATCAGTTATCCGTCGCTATACTTACGTTATGTCGACGATATCCTAATAGTGTGGGAGAATACAGAGGAGGAGTTTATCAAATTTGTGCAGCAACTTTCAAGCATATACCCTACTATCAGTTTCACTTGGGAGAGGGAGCATGAGGACTCAATAGCGTTCCTGGATCTGTGTATACAAAAGTCGGTTGAGAGGCCGCAATTTGCTGTTCACCACAAATCTGACCTGTTACCAGCAGATGCTTTCTAACCGTTGCGGTACATCAATGCCGCCAATGCTGCACTCATTAGAAGAGTATTACTGCTTCCGTCGACACAGCTAGCAACAAAAATCGAATTAGATATCATTAGAGCAGCAGTATCTCTTGCAGGATTTACATATGCCAAATATAAACATGTGCTTCGTAAAGTAAAAGAGGCCCTATACCCATGTACCACGCTGTACAGAAAGGAAAAAGCATCCGTGATCCAGTCGTCATTGCCATATCTTGGACCAACCTCTATACGCATCAGCCGCATATTTCGGCGATATAATTTCATACTATCCATAACTCCCCTACCAAACCTATGCAGATGTATCTGCAACAATCAGGACAGGCTAACTACTTTAGAAAAGTCAGGGATTTACACGATAAAACTAGAAAATCCAGTAACGGGAAATATTACAAGATACATAGGAGCAACAACAAGAATGCTCGCCTCCCGCCTTGCATCAGGATGATGTAGCCAAAGGAAGATGTTCTACAGAGCTCGCTAAAAAAGTTCTCGAGCAAGGCTACAAAGCATTATGGCCCAAAATGGAAATAATTAAATGCTGCAACAATCGAAGGCTTGTGTTTATCTGGGAAGCGCTTCTCACGGCTACTTCAGAAGCGTGCAATGTTCCCACCCTTGATCTACCCGGGGTGTGGATTGCCTTATATCGGTACGTAAAAAACGAAATGCGCCTAACATTGTATCGCCAACGCGGTAGCATTTCCACGCATGCGCCACTAGCATCGTAAAATATAAAGTTTCGGACATATCAAAAATTACTTGCACGTTCTTAACAGAATTTCCAGACGCCTGTTTGAATTTTGAATATTCTGTTCCTTTGGAACATCCTGCACGTTGTCTTGTTAAAAAAATTTGTTCTTTTCACCTGAAGACGACGATTATACACTTGTCGAAAGTGCTTGTGTTAATACTAAAGGAACTTTATTAACGCTGAACTCAGTGAATTTGTATCATAAGTTATACAAATATAAATATCTATTAACCTAATTTTTGATTAAGACCACACGATCTGCCAGTTATAGCTCAATATAATCCAGATCAATTACAGTTAAATTTAATATATATATTAATATTTTTTACTAAAACTGTGTTAGGAATGTGCTAAAAATATTTATTTAGATATATTTCAGAATTTGTATCTTCTTTTATTACACTCTCATTTTTTATAGAGGACAATTGAAAAATAAGATTCTCTAATTTTATAAAAGAATGAAAACCTAAATATTAAATAAAAATAATCTTAATAACAATAAAAATTTTTATATTAATACAGATATCAACAATGCATAATATAACAAAAGTAGCTAACAGCAATAAATAAAACTAAATCTATCGAATAGTACAATTTTTATTAAAACAAATATTCATATCCAATGGAACCATTAGTAAATCTTAATAAAGAAGCTACTTTTCACTTAATATTCATGGATGTGTTTAATTGGTTCATACCATATGGTTATTCTACATTATATTACATTACATTATATTATATTACATATAGGCCTATTATATATAGTGTAGAATACCAATGGTATTCTACACTATATATAATATATGTAATACACTATATATAAATGTAGAATAACCAAAAACATTCACAAACACTGGAAACAAGAACTAATAATTTACTTTTTTTTTATTCTATTCAAATGCAACTATTGTTTTGTAAGTTTATCCTGAAAAAGGTTAGTTAAATATGGCCAAAAACATTAGAAATTAGTGTGTTTAATGCAATTTTTTAAGGTATTGTGGAGTGTTTTACTTAGTGCTTCAATACTTCTTTCAGCAATTATTTTCTTACAAAAAAAAAAAAAAAAAAAAAACACATTTTTGGTCTCTTCTTCAGTCCTCTTCAGGAATAACAGCAGGAAAAAAAAATTCAAGATTGCTTCAAAATTTGATAGAATTTTGACATAATAATGTTGGAGTGTTCTATACTTTTGGAAATTTATATTGGCAGATATCCAATGAAATTTGAATATAGCTCCAAATTATTCAAAAAATATAATGAAGTGTATAGAACACTCCATGCCATTAGTACATTAAAATTCTATCAAATACTTTTTTCTACTTGTGTATTTGAAGAGGGCTGATGAAGAGACCAAAAATGTTTATTTTTTTTTTTTTTACTTTTTTTTAAAGAAAATAATTTCTGGAAGAAGTATTAAAGCACTAGATAAATTACTGTAGAATAACCATATAATTCTTGTCATAAACACTCAATACTATGATCACTACTTCTTCAAAATATCTTATTATATTGAGTTGTATAAATTGTTGATGATTATATACTACATATGATGATGATAATTATCATTATATTAAACTGTACACGATAGTAAAATACTATAGTATACTGAGCTGTTCAAAATAGTGCATGTAGTATTCATATATACTGAATTAATATTATACTAACAAATGAGCCCAGTGTTACTCAGGCAAAAAGTAACAATAGTTAAGATTAAGATTAATAGATTATAGCCGATCTTACCCGTTTTTACTGAGTGCAAGAATTAGGTTCACCCTCTTCCGACACTAATTAGAGAATTTTTAGATGGGTCTAAAATATGTTCGATTTCCCACAAAAAACCGCATCTAAAATAGTACAGTAAAATCTGAATTCAGGATAATCCTTAACCTCTCCCTCTCCCCCACGGGGGGATTTTGGAAAATCCCTTTGTGTACATTCTCATGACATATACTAACTGTGTACTAAATTTCAATTTTCAACTCCTAACCATTTGGGCTCTGTGCTTAATAATAATATTATTATTTGTAGAATTTCGCCGGATGATAATTTATTTTTTAATCAAAAAAGACACAGTCTGCTCAAAATTTCTTTTTGAAACCACCATTTCTTCTGATCACGTGTTCCAGAACACCATCGATGACCGGACCTTTCTTTGTAGGCTACTAGGTCATCTGGCTAAAACATTCCTTTAAAAACACACAAAAAAATCCAATTAAAACATTAAAAAGTAAAGAATTGGAACTGGCGGTCTTACAGATGTCTTAAACTTGCATCCTTTCCAGTTAGGGAATTTCAGTCCTTTATATCCACTTGATAAATGCATTTTTTTGTGTGTTTTTAAAGGAATGTTTTAGCCAGATGACCTAGTAGCCTACAAAGAAAGGTCCGGTCATCGATGGTGTTCTGGAACACGTGATCAGAAGAAATGGTGGTTTCAAAAAGAAATTTTGAGCAGACTGTGTCTTTTTTGATTAAAAAAGAAATTTTGAGCAGACTGTGTCTTTTTTGATTAAAATATTATTATTATTATTATGTTGGGTTAAGTGGGTTATACTCAGTTGACACCGGTGGCTGTGTACTATGCCGGACCAGAGTCAAGGCATAGCAACCAAAACAAAATGGATACAGATACCCCACACATACCTCCATCTATCAAGCTGAAGATGCTGTCTACCAAGCTATTCAGTGGGCCACTTCAGTACCAAACAAAACTCTATCTATCAACATTTACAGTGATACTCAGTCTGTCCTAAAAGCTCTATTAAATCCCAATTGCAATAGCAATAAAATCACATACATCCAGCACCATACTAAATGTCTTGTAAATAAGGTAACTTTTATATTTGTTCCTGGCCATACTGGCATACTAGAAAATAAAAAAGCTGACTTTGAGGCTAAGTCAGCTGCAAAGGACACTGACTTGGACTATAGTCACATCCCGCTTTCACGTAGCAGCCTTAAAAATTATATTCATGACAACGCTATGCAAAAGTGGAATCAACAATGGTTGAGCAGTAAAACTGGTAGAAAAACAAGACTTTATTTTTCTAGTGTTGAATGCAGGTTCTCATCACTGCTTAGAGATTTAATGTTTGCTACTGCTCAACTACTTACTGAGCATGATAATTTTAAAAGCTACCTGGCAATGTATAACCGGGCAGAAACTGCCTCTTGCTTTTGCTCTACACCGTCAACCATATGATCTATCATTGTCCAATTTATGATCAAGATAAGACTTATTCTGAAATTAAAAATCTTTACGCTTGGTTTCATGTTGCGATGACCACTCAATAAGCTTGTTCAGAAGCCACTGTTTTTTAAAATTATGTTCAAAAAATATGGAAGAAAAGACTATTTATAATTTATAATTTCTAGTTTTATATTTTAGTCTTCACTAAAAGCCGAATATTAATTTTTTG